TAATTCTCCTCCAATACAGGAACCCAACTGCTATGAGGATGAGAGTGGCAAAGCTCAGGCCGACTCCAAGTGCAATTGCTAGTTTGTTGGAGCTAAGTTTTCCTAGAATAATGTAGAAGCAAAATTTAACGGAGATAAATTGCTTATATATACATATATATATATATATATATATTGAGAGAGAAAGAGATACCAGGGGATGAACGAAGGGAGAAGGAAAGAGGGATAAGAAAGGCTGATCCAGAGCAACTCTCTCCGGCAAAATAGCGTCCAATCCACTAAAATCGCACCGATCCGTATCAATTCGCATTGTTCTAACCGCTAACCGCGGTTTAAACTTTAAAATTTAAAATCCGCCAACCAAACCACTCCGCTCTGCTATAGTTAATACATACATATTTTTTAACTTCTAATGAAATATTAATGAAAAAATGAGTGTGAGAGATATTTAAGATATGAAATTTATTACAAATTAGTGGTTATATATATGAAACATACTATGTAAAATTACTTTGCGTTATATATTTAAAAAATATTATACAAATTAATATTATATATTATGTAAATGTATGATAATTAGTTAAAATGTTCTCCAATCAGCCAATTCGTCAAAAATCGCCCAAATCACAATTTATCAATCCGCTAATCCGTTAACCCACCATTTAATTTGTAATTTTACTCTCTAACTATTTGAACTACACCGCGCACACTCCTATCTACAAATAAGAGGGTTACTCACAATACTATATGAAAAATAAGGGAAGAATGATCAGTAACTGAAATAAAGCCACGAATACATACTATCCACACAACGTATGTGAGAGAGAGAGAGAGAGAGAGAGAGAGTTGTGTACTTGAATGTTCTGGCAGGAAATTTGGGCACAGGTACACTGAGATTGTTATAAGACAAATCCCTGTGTTAGTGTATTATAATGTTAGTGTCATATATAGCTGTCATACATTAGCATATATTATATACATGTAAAGTAAAATATTTATTGTAATGTTTATTGTTTTTGCTTTCGGTGCATTTGGCATCCTATGTACAACACTCTCCTCTCTATAAAAGAGAGTGAGCTTCTCCTAGGAATCATGAACCATTGTAATAAATATCAATATAAATCAATCAATAATACATACAATTTATTCTCTCTCTATTTCTCTTTATACATTAAAATTTACATGGTATCAGAGCAAGGTTAACACCCTAGTCATTCTGCTTCCCCGGCGGGCGGCAGTCTCGCCTTGGCCGCCCGCCGGACCTCAACACATACCTTCACTCCGCTGCCACATTTCTTGCTACCATGGACCATCACTATTTCTTGCTGCAGCTTTGTTACAACATAGATCTTACCCACGTCGTCGAGCACTCCGTCGGCCCACACGACAGCCACCGACGCCGTGATCTGGCCAACACCGACTACGCCACCTGTCACCACTGCTGCAGACGCCGTGACACAGGTTCCTGCTAGCTCACCACCGACGTAGCCGCCGCCGAAGAGCTCACTGGCTGGAGTGGCGCCGAGGACCAGCTTTTCCATGAAGTTGATCATCTCTCTCTCTCTCTCTCTCTGATTCCTTAAAATATACTAACATAGCTCTCAAGGAACTACATAGATAGAAGTAACCCTGAAAAGGATGGGCTAACCTCTCCCAATGTGTAGGCTGGACCCTCGCCATTTTGGCCTCTAGTTCATCCACCAGCATCCTGAACTCCATGTATGAAGATTGGAAGGTTAGGAGGTGGGGGATCAGATTATGCAGCCTTTGTACAACATATTGGTGTTCCCTCAGCTGATATGTCTTTTGGCAAAGGTAACTTGGATTGATCGACTGTTGATGAGAATGAAGAGAACTCGGACTAGAGTGAAGAGGTTGTAGATCTGAGGAGAGAAGATGTTGTAGATCTTAAGGCCAGTCATCGGAAGTAAGCCGGAGGAGCCGACGACTAGTCAACAACCTCCACCGGTACCGGAACCACACAACCGTTGCTGCATCTGTTGCCGCCAGCGGCAGAAGGACGTACGATGGTCTATTGGTGGTGGTGTGTCGGTATACTCCACACAGTGGCTTCTCTCTGTATACTCCACACAGTGGCTTCACCTGAATTGATGTTCCCATCTCCCTCCCTACCAACTTGTTTGGTCACATTTTCTCTCTCTAGACATGCTCTCTGCCGAGAGCCACACAGTAGATCCACACATACCAAAACATCCACCGCCCACATCCCTCACTTTCTTTAAGCCCATCTTTCACTCACATGGGCTTGTCCCCATTCTCCCCTCATATTTTAAACTTTTCTTTAACCTTTTCCCAAAGTGTTTGATCTGCCAAAGACGTGGCCACAAACAAATACCAAACACACTATTTCCACTAAACTTTTCTTTACACTCATCTTCTCCACTACCCATTTTTATTTTATTTTATAATCAACATACCCATCATTCTTTTCCCCACTACAATATATTATACTAGCCTTCTTTGATTCCAGTGGATTCCAACACTTTATTTTATATATTATTATTATTATTATTTCAAAAAAAAAAAACCAAACAAAAACACATTTATTTTTCTTTCCCATCATTTCTTTTAAACTTTTCTTTCCACCACTCTCTTTTAATATTTCTCTTTAGCAACTGCATTACTGAATGATGGCTGATTTTATTCCACACAAAAAAAAAAAAAAAATCCATTCACAACCAACTCGTTTTTCATTCCACAAACTTGTCATTTCTTCATGCCGGAATACATATATCATGGTGAGCATGGTTACACACCATGCGAACCACCCAAGCTAATAAGCATGGTTATATACCATGGGAACCACCCAAGCCACCCCATGGCGCACTCCCTAAGCCGCCCCCTTGGTGCACCACCACAATCTTCTACAACGATCCGGCATGACCCCGTAAACTGTCCCGACATTGATTTCGGTCAGCTTCTACATCGGTCCGGCATAACCCCGTAAACTGTCCCGACATTGATTCCGGTCAGCTTCTACATCGGTCCGGCATGACCCCGTAAACTGTCCCGACATTGATTCCGGTTAGTTTCTACAACGGTCCGGCATGACCCCATAAACTGTCCCGACATTGATTCTGGTTAGCTCCTACAGCGGTCTGACACGACCACATAGTGTCTGCTACAACGGTTCGATATGACCATATAGTGCCTTCTCCACCGGTCTGACACGACCATACAGTGTCTTCTACAACGGTCTGACACGACCATACAGTGTCTCCTATCCTATTTTATTTTATTTATCAGTTTACTTTCCTGTTTTGTTACTCTCTCCAAACTCAAGTTGGTTAGTACCTATCCTCCTTGAGTTTGAGGGGGGCTATTAGTGTATTATAATGTTAGTGTCATATATAGCCGTCATACATTAGCATATATTATATACATGTAAAGTAAAATGTTTATTGTAATGTTTATTGCTTTTGCTTTCGGTGCATTTGGCATCCTATGTACAACACTCTCCTCTCTATAAAAGAGAGTGAGCTTCTCCTTAATACAGATTCAATACATATTCAATACATAATTCTTTCTCTTTCTTTATACATAAAAACTAATACCCTGAATGATTATAAAAAAACAAACTACAGACTTACTCAAGCATTTTGAACCAAAACCTCTGATTTAGAAAAAGCAGTGAGAAGAATTGCAGGTTGTTTCGATTTCCAAGACACTGAGAAACACAAACAAAACACAGAGAGAGAGAGAAAGAGAGAGAGAGAGAGAAGAAACCAGTGGCAGGCATACTCACAAGAAAGTAAGTGGAGGGACTTTGGCTAAAGACAGAGGAATAGCTCCAGACAAGCTATTGTTATTCAACCTTCTACTCATTCATTACACATGACATGACAAAAACAACAACACAGTCAGAAAAGAAAAGATATGACATAGAGTATAAAAGAAGACCAGAAACAGACATAGAGTATAAAAGAAGACCAGAAACAGGGAGTAATCAATAATAGAGAAAAAGAAAACCCATTACAAAACTGAGAGAAAGAGATAAAAGACTAGTGCTGACAGATACAGAAGAGCATTTAACCCATCATCTTGTGACAAGTATCTCATTATCTCGCAAAACATAATACAAAATTGATGAATCCCACTATTATTTTATTTATTTATTTATTTATTTAATTATTTTATCAGCAATAAGTCTCATTATTGAAACCAGTAAATATCAAATTGAGATACATGTACTCATGCCAGATCCACTAAATATTTTTCAGGTAAATTATATTTAGCAACTATGTACTTTTACTAAATTCTCACTTTGATATTTAAGACAATTTTATTTATCATATTTTCTCTAATTATTAGTTAATTATCTCTTTTATATATTATTAAGTTTAGAAAGTAAACTTGTATATTATTTTTCTTTTGACATTTATTGGTTTTGTATGATTCACTTTTGTTCGTATTGGTACATGCTAACTTCATTAATTTAATTCTTTGTTTGCATAGAACATTATGTTATACATCTAAACTATTCTAATAGGCCCGGATAAACCTACATCGTGGATCCCTAAGAGGATATATACGATACAAAAATTATGATACAAAAAGTGAATTTATAATGTGCATTCTACAGTTATGTTTTACAAACTACTTCAGGTTTTAGTGGTAAGTTACTGTTGTATGCATCATGAATTTCATTTTATTTTTATTTATTTATTTTTGACCTTGCAAATTGCTCTATTTTGTGTTGTTGGACTTCTAAATGTGTGTTGTAAGACTATGGTTGTCTAGTTAAACGTAATTCTCCTCATATAAAGTCTCAGATCCCAATTGAAAAAATAAAAATAAAATATAATAATTGAATTAGGAAATGCTTAATTTTATAAAACTTTCTAAGAAATGCACTGACTCAAAATTTTCCTTATAACTACATAAACATTCAAATCCAATTTAAAGGATTATTTTTTATTTAAACAGTTGTTTGTTTGTTTTTTTATTTTTATTTTTATTTTTTTTTTGAGACCGATAAACAAATGACACAACGAATTTTTTACTTAGATACTTATTATAGGTTTTTGAATTGTGAAGGGATGATACAGAAGATGAGAATGCTATGTTCTATTGGGGGGGAGATATTGTGTCTGATCACAGAAGTGTGTCTTACAACGGCCATGTGAAGAAGTTCTGTAAGGTGAAAAAGGGGACAACATTGCACACACTACCGGAATTATGAGTTTTGAATCTAAGTCCTCACGCCTTCTTTGATTTCGATTTCATCTGAATCTCTGATTTCGATTTCGATTTCACAGCTCCACCGCCACCACCATCTGCACCGACGAGGTAGGTGAGCTCTCTCTCTCAACCCTCTCTAAACGCTTATCATTCGCAGAGATTCAAATCGGTTTCGATTTCGAAGCTCCACTGCCACCACCATCTGCACCATCGTCTACTAAGGTGAGCTCCACCGTCTCTCTGTTTCTCTCTGAAACTCTTCATTTTCGTCTCTCTCTCTCTCTCTCTCTCTCTCTCTCTCTTTCTCTCTTTCACACACACACACACACAGATTTCAATTGAAGAATATAGTTTGCCCTAATTGTGATTTTTTGTGTTCCTAATTGGAATAGTCTCTAATTTATGTGCTTTATTGGAAAATCTATAATTCTTGCTGTGCTCTGATTTCTGAAAACATTGTGGATTGTGAATTTGTGTGGATTTTTTTATTGTAAGTTATGGATTTGAAAAAAGGAAAAGGAAGCGAAAAGTAGGAAACAAACTATTCGATCTCTCAATCGAAGTTGTTGATAAATTTTTTGGTAGTAAGAAACAAATAATAGAGAGTTCTGATTCAGTTGATGAAGATTTGGTTTGGTGATTAAAGAACCTAATCAATGTATAAATGATAAGCTAAGAAGAGAGAGTTTATTGAAGGAACAATATTCTTTTACAGAGACAAAATCATATATACATACAAAGAGAGTTTGTGTAAACTACTTTCCCTGGGTTGTATAGCATGGAAACCTTCAACTACACAATGAACATATGTTGATCCATCTATCTACCTTCATGCATACCTATCTATATTTACATTAATCCATAGCTTCTATGAAATCCACCACATTGAACTTCTCTCGAGTCCCAAAAGAATCACAACAAATCCCTCCCCAAATCTAAGATCCAATATGGATTGACAATCACAACGTGAGTATGACTTTCATTTGCTGCATGTTTTAGCTTCAACTGAATTTGAACTTTATAGTTTCTTTGTTGCCTATTGTATGGTAAATTCTTATATGATAGCTTGTGATTATGTTTTTGGCCTGGTGCTCAACTTGCCATTTGGGGTGGTTGGATTGGGTTGGAATTATTATCTCAATGGAATGCCTTACAATTTGGGGTGCTTAATCTTTTTATCATGTCTTGATTGATTTTTAACGAATTATTTCTGTATTGTGATTGATTTATAACTCCAGCTGAAGCAAATGTGATACTTCACCTTATTACCCCTACTCTCTTTGTTGTGTGGGCTGTAAATTTTTTTAGCAAATTGTTCTTGACACTAATTGTTGCATACGAAATTAATTTGCTGATTATCGTTTATTGTTCTACGCAGGTAATTCCTAAATGTCATTTTCAATATTCTGAACAAGAAGGTTTATAATTATTTTCCATATCCATAGTAAGTTACCTTCGCTGAATGAGTTAGGGCCTTGTAAATAGTGAAGTTAGATTGTGTTATTAAGCTCTCTTTGCAGCTCTCATACGTTGTGATAATTAAAAGATCATTTTTCCCCTTTTGCGGCTTTGTCTCAGTTATACATCTCCTAGTTGGTGTGGTCTATTGTCTTGTCAGTTGGGCTGTTGGTATGCCAAAACAAGCAGTGAGTTTCATCTTCTGCATTTGTTATTAGTTCTTCATAGGTTAAATTTTGGCTTGCATTATTTACTTGATTTCTAATCTGCCTACACAGCCAATCAACAAAGAACTCTCGACAGTCCTCACTCCAGTAGCATTCTGTCACGCCCTTGGACATGCCATGTCCAATGTATCATTTGCCGCCGTAGCTGTGTCTTTTACACATACCATTAAAGGTATGGGACTCTTGCAAAGAGAAGCTATGTTAAGCTAGTAATCTTGATATTCTAGATTTATGTTACTAATTATATCAAATTTATATACATATCAGACGTGCATCAGTCTCTTCTCATGGTCTTATAAAAATCATATTTTAATTCGAAGTTTTTATGATAATAGATGGGTTATAGATGTTCTGGAGTTGGGTCCTTTTGATGGCGAGCAACCTATTTACATAAGATCGATCAATCATTAATTTAGGCTGCAAGTTATTGTGCTTATTACCTCCTTCTGTGGCTGTAATAGGTAGTGGTAGTTGAAGATGATACTTCTTATCTTTCCTAGTGGATGAATTATCTTTTGAATGGAATTAGTTGATAACAATGATGCCCCCTTGTGAACACATGGCGGAATGCTATGCCTATTACACAAGCTATCACTTGAAACTTTATGATTTGATGTCCTTTAATTGATTCTGCTTTTTTTCTTCTAAATTGATATAATGCTTGACTAATGGGATGTGGTGTGGTTCAACATAGTTCAATGCTACGCAGATAAAAGTTAATTTGTTACCTAGATGTGATACTTTTTTTATTTTTTTTTTTATTTTTTATGTGTGTGCATGTGTAATGATTTATAACTGCTTAATCCACTCTTACATTAAGGAACCTAAGTCGATTAATTTTCATTCATTCTATTAATATAAAAGAGGTTAGGGCATAGTCTTTGGCATCATAGAAATTCATTCCTTCTTATTTTTATTTTATGCTACTTTTTTATTGACTTCAATTTTTTTTAATGTTATTTATATTCATTATGAAAATATTACATATTTTTTCATGCATATGGATCTGTAGATTTGAATTTTATTCTATTGATTCTTGCAGTTGAGCAATGGCTCGACTTCTCGAGTTCCTTAGTCAAACTTGCATAGCATCAGCAATGCATTTTTTAATCTCAGTTTTACCATATAACTATTGGTTGTTAGAGATGTTCAATTTATGTAGGACAAGATGGTCTTGCATGGTGCATGTAGTAGATCTCTTCTTATTAGTCGAACAACCTGGATTAGATGTTTAATTCTTCCATGTCAGGAAGACTTGGCTGCTAGGAGAAATGAATCCTGTTTCTGAATTGGATGCTTTTCAGTTTCAGTGTTACCTTGGTCCATGTCATGCTTTTTGTATCTGATAATTTGTGGGTCTAGGGTTCTGTGCAGTTTTGATGTATTTTGGTTCTTGCTTACTTCAGTGATCTAGCCATTTTTCATTTTTGGCATGTTTGTATTGCTTAGCTTTGATTGATTTATTTGTTTGATTAACTATTCCTTGGTCTAAACATAGACTTCATCACACTTAGACAAACCACAAATTCAATCTAACCAAAACACTTCTATATACATATATAGATATCGTTTACATTGGTCGTGTAATTTATTTTGGCTGATTTTGTTTCTCTCATATCTATAAGCAACCAACTCCTTTTCTCTTTCCATTTTTGCACCCTTCTGGTTGTTCTGTTTCAGATCAAAACATGAGTAAAGAAGAGTTCTTGAAGATCCAAGTACTCTTTTATATATGATGCTGAGGCAACATAGCTTCTATCCACGATTGTTCCCATATCAAATGGCATTATATGATGCTGAGGCAACAGAGCTTCTATCCATGATTGCTCCCATATCAAATGGCAATATAATTTGAAATTTAAATGCGTTATGTTATCTCCCAAGCAATTCTCTAGCGTTGTCTTTCATCACTCATTTTACGTCCAGCCACATACAGTTTCATGAATGAAGAAATGAATACTTTGTCTTTGAATAAATGGTCCCTTGATTCTAGTTGCTAGATTAAGGAATTACATGTTTGGTTCTTTTTATTTTTAAAGAATCTATATAAGATGTTGTACAAATATTTCTTGTTTAAATTATTGATTGAGATGTTGATTTCTTTAAATCATCTTCAAATCTAATTAGGGCAGGTCAAAATTTTCTTCAACGTTCTTTTTAAATTTCATCAAAACATTGGTAGTCTAATATAAGATGTACATACATTTGCTGGTAGTCTACTGGGAACTCTGGACTTACAAAACTGTAACTTACCATGTCCATCAAAATTTGAATTTGCACACTCATTGGGAGTTAAATTGTTATTTTCTTTAGCCGAACTTTTGTTGCTTATTTCTTGTGCCTTTGTTCCTTAGTGTTCCATTTGTCAAATAGAATTTTTTTTTACTTCTATCCTGTGATTATTTTCCATCTTATCTGTTTGCTCTCTTCCTAACAAACCTGCTCTTTCATCACCCAGGATTGGGTGTATAGTTACTTTCTGTTGGACAAGGTGAATTCCATGGTGAAGCGACGCATACTCTGAAGTTTGTTGTGAACCAGTCAGACTACACTGTGCAGACACTAAGAAATGTCACAGAGTATCTATTACTTGCAAAAGCCATTAATATGGTCCAGGTTTTTCTTCCTTCAAATGACAAAGATAAAATTGGCAAGTTGAATGCAGATTTAAATACTGCAGCAGGTTTTTGATTGCATATACATTAGTATATATACATCTTTAAATTACATAAACATTCACCCATAAATTTAGAGTGCAAATTTCAGTTTGCCCCCATGGTTCAACTCAAGCTTCATGAACTACACAGCAGGTTTTTGATTGCATATTCATTAGTATATATCTATATGTCTTTTCTCAATTATTTTGGTGGATTTTTGATCAATTGAGTGGTTGGGTCAGTGGGACATTGGTTAAAGTTTGGATTTGTGATAAATTTTGCCGGATAAAGTGAAGGCTTCTCATGATGTCTACGTTTCATATTTTGGATTTTTTTCAACATACTTTTGTAACAATTATTTAAACACAAAATTATATAATGAGGTGCATCATTTGTATATTCGTTATGTTAGTCATATAAGGTGCATCATTTTTCGTGTTTCTGACTAGTAATGTGTGCTTTAGGTCAAGGATCATCTTTGATTATATGTGTGGGAATATTGACTGGCTACACAGATACATTATATAAGATTTTATCTCAGCTCACAGGTAGATGCTTAAATAAGAAATTATTCTAGTGTCTGTATTCTATCTATCTAGGTAATTATTCTACTGTCCTTTTCTTTTCTTCTCTGTTTTGGGTTTGTCTGCTGTGTAGAATTAGTGAACTCAATTAGGATGAATTGATAGAGACTAACTAGTTACTTCATGGATGCCTATTGTACTTTCAGTTGTGCCTGAGTCCCTTATTGTTATCATGGCATCCACCAGGCAGTCTTCCTACTACATCACGTAGCGGTAGTACATCACATGGCTTAGTTTCAGATGGTACGTATAAGCTTTTGACTTTTTAGTAGTATTTGTAGAGTAGACTTCAATTGAAATCAAATGGACATGACTATCACAGTTTATTTGTTTATTTGTTCGATCAATTACAGAGAAAATTTTATTGTTGGCCTCAGTTTACAATGATTAATCATTAAATATGATTTTATATTATTTCTGGTGATTGATCTCCTTGTGCCATTGTGCAATGTGTTCATTGTTTTGTTCAATTATGAAAGAATCTTATCATGACAAATTGACAGCCTGTCTCAAACCATCCCCACCCCCTCTCTTACTTTTGCACCTGCTTGTCTCTTACTTTATTTTTTTTAATTCAGACCTTTCGTTTTTCCAATAATGCTTCTTCTAAGATTGATTATAATATTTAAATTTTGAGAGTGAGTGTTTTGTATAGTTTGTGCTAATTCTATTAAATGGTGTGTGCTAATTCTATTTGATGCATTGTTTTAATTTTTTCTATTAAGTTATTGCTCCCCCCTTCATGTTTTGTTTCATTTATTCCCCCCCCCTCCCTCCAAAAAAAAATTTCAACTTTCCCCTTCATTGAAGAAAAATCGGACGAGGAGATATTGAAGCCCTGCAGCTGCACTAAAAAGTCCCCAGATTATTGTATTTTTACGTACTTAACTTTTGGGCCTAGGATTATTATTTTGTTGAAGAAATAGTGGTCTTGTGATTTGTATCTTGAATATGTGAAATGAAGCTGAGCTGACTACATTGAAGAATTGAAGCTGTTAGATATCACTTTTGATTTCTTTTTATTTATTTATTTTTTAAAAATGAGCCTTTAGTTTTTATTTGTTTTGCTTATTAATTGTATCATTTTTATTTAGGCCTACTAAGGACCATGGAAGAGTATGTCAATACAAAGGGGTCATTCTCAAAACCCACAAGGGATACTAGAAAATCACCTAATCAGTTCCAGTTCTCTAGTACGCCGTAATTAGTTGTTGAATCTTTTGCTCTGTAATTTTTTTTTTTCTCCCTCCATTAAATATCATGCTGACAATGTATATTACGTCAACTAGAGGTAAAGAAGATGCATAAGAGTGCATGAAGTCAACTTCAGAAGATTGTAAAGGAGCAAGAAAAGATAACAACTGAGTTAGAAGGTCAGAGCAAATCACTGCAGGAACTTGAGAAAGAATTGAAGAAAAAGGAGATCCAAAATGAAAAGAAGAGACTCTAGCTCCAATTTGAGAATATTATGGTACTGTAATTGTACTAGTCTTTCTCGAAGATTGAATGGGTTTTGATTCTAGGCTGGCTTTTCTTTTAGTTGGATCAGTTTAGTGCTTTAGTTGCTGTAGAAAGGCTTTTGAATATTTTACTACTGGAAGGGGTCTGTATCTGTTTCATTGTATGCTTCAGAGTAATCCTGTACTGGTAGAAGTCAAGATCAGTTTGCTGTTCTGTTAGGTTGTAGATGTCGTTGAAAGGGGTATGCCCTTTCTTTTGTTCTCATTCTCTTCAATGCCCTTAGATGTTCTGAGCTGCACGTGCTACATTTTGTATCTTCTCTTCAATGAATTATTTAAATTTTGAGTGAGTGTTATTTTTCAGTTTTATTATAGGTATTTTTTTGGTTTAATAACCTGAAATTAGCACAATTTTTTTTTTTTAAAAAAAAAAAGAAGAGGGCTATCATGGCGTTTCTAAAACGTCGTTAAATAGCGTCAGAGATACGATGGCGTTTTAAAAACGTCGTTAAATAGCATGGTGACGTCATGTTACCGTTAGTAGAACTTCTAGCGGCGTTTTTAAAATGCCATAGAGTTATAGCGACGGCCGCATCTTCGGCGTTTGGTGCTAAATGCCTATTGTAAAAGAATTAACGGCGTTTTTAAGACCTATCGTGGCGTTTTTTAAATGCCTCTAAAACCTGAATTTCCAGCAGTGACGAGTTGGAGGCGATGATCATGCCCAAGGTGGCCCTGAATGGAGAAAACGTGCAACTGAAGTTCAAATGTAGGTTAGCATCTTGGGAGTCCATATATGAAGTGAAGTATGAGTTGGTTCCAATTGACAACGATGAGGATTTGGCTTTGGTCTTGAATCAACCGAACAACTCATGGTCAAAATATAGTTTGCAATTTTATGTGGACTGGGACGAGAGCATGAAGGGCAACATTCCAACTACTCTACAGTTATATTGGTAAGTTATATTGATGTCCTTTAGAATTTTCCTAATTTCAGGATCCTCTCTCTTGTTGATGTTAATCATGTTAGAAAACCTAACCAAGGGGTTGTTAGCATGTGTGATTGGCACTCTCGCCACTAAGTCTCTCTTGATGAGAGATCTTGGATTTTACTATTAGAAATAGAATTTGGTGGAAATAGAATTGGGTGGCAAGTTTTAAGTACTTGCAAAGAGAGAGCATGAGTTTAACTCTCCGATGTGTTAAATTTAGATTAATGTCTAAATAAATTTTTGGGTAAATTATACAAATAGTCCATGTAGTTTACACGATGTGTCAATTTGGTCCTTATAGTTTCAATTTGCTTGATTTTGCCTCTTAATTTAATAGATTGTGTCATTTTGGTCCAATAAATAACGGTTTTTAAATTAATTTAACGGAAGGTCAAACAATATGTCAATTTAGTCCATGTACTTTACACGATGTGTCAATTTGGTCCTTATTGTTATAATTTTCTCGATTTTGATAGAGACCAAATTGATACATTGTGAAAAATATAGGGACTAAATTGACACATTGTTTGACTTTTCGTTAAATTAACTTAACAATCGTTTTTTATTGAACTAAAATGACACCATTCGTTAAATTAAGAAGCAAAATCGAGCAAATTGAAATTACATAGACCAAATTGACACATCGTGTAAACTACATGGACTATTTGCATAATTTTCTCTAAATTTTTTCACTCTGTTTTACATAATAGAAATAGACGAATGATTTAAATTAAAAACAAATCAAAAAGGTTTAAATTGACAAAATACTTAACAGAAATAGGCTCTCTCTTTCTTTTTTTTTTTTGTGGTAATTTTCCCTATTTTTTTTTACTCTTTAAATTTTAACGATATTATTGTCCATGCATTATATCACACTAACCATTTTTTATTTTTTTATTTTTTACGCAGGTGTGAGATTTTGTTGCAATGAGGACATGTAGATGCATAGCGCAGGAAACTCCAAGAGTTGGACGGATGGTCAAAGTTTGGGACTTGAGAGTGTATTATTTTCATAATTTTAGGTTTGAAATTTCTTAAATGCAAATAATATATTGGGGTTAGTCCGAGATACGAGACTTTGCCTCAAAAAGATACATATAACACATGAGTGGATTTATCTTTACAAATAATTTATTTTAATTGTTTGTTTTTCTTATATTGGTTGGAACAAAATGCAAAAAACTTCAAATATTCACTTATTTTATTTTTGTTCTACTTCTTTTATGAGTCAATTGAATATATATCTAGATTTTTATTATATTTGAGTAACAAGTCCTGTAATATAGAACACCTAAAAAAGCAACCTTTTTTTTTTAATGCTTTTATTTTTAGTGATTTTTTTTTTCAAACTTTTATCAAATTTTTTTTAGTTTTCCCTTCTATCTTGTGTAAACGAATCTAGAAAGTAAGTTTTTTTTTTGAAAAATTCCAACAAAAATTGAAAAATCCAAAATAAACAAACAAACAAAAAGTCTACTATTTTTTTGCTTATTTTTGTCTTTCCTGGACTTATTTTAGATTTTTTCAAAATTTTTTAATTTTAAGGTTCGTTTTGTCGAGCTAAATTTAAAAGCCTAAAACTTTCTAAAATTTTTTATTAAAAAAAATTACTAAAGACAAAAATAGACCCCCCCCAAAAAAAAAAAACAAATTAAATAAACCCTAAACACCCATTGATAAATGAAATAATCCAATAATTCATTTTATATGGTATCAAATGATTGTTACTATTGCGAAGACAGTCATCACAAACTCTCTTAATCATGAAATTGTTGTCCAAATTGTGAAATTAAATAAATAGATTCACGAATAAATTAAAATTATATACCAAGAACACATACTGAGAATTACAACTAAATTACAACATAAATACACAATGTAATAAAATGGTAAAGAAAGCAAGCCGAACCCTGCACGGTAGTAGTTTTCTTAAAACAGATTTCACCGCCTCATGGGTTGAGTGCTTCCGGCGTCTGTCTGCCAGGATACGACGGTCAAAAACCAGCTACGGCAGAAGTACTTTCTATCTAGCTTAACGAACAAAATCATGGCAACACTCTCTCACTGTAGGAATTTCCTGGCAAACTGATTTGTAAAATGGAAACAAAAAATTTCTATATTTGAGACTTGACAGGAGGGTCTCAATTTATACATGTATAGAGAAGAGAGGAAGAGCCTCTAGCCTTTGTGGCTGGTCATTAAATCACTATTAACCAGCATCCATAATCCCTTTTTAGAAAGTTGAAAAGTTTGGAAGCCTAAAGGATTCACACCCTTTAGCCAAGAAAAAAGGATTTAAATATTCTTTAAAATCCCTTTCATGAATCTAACTTTATGAGGTAATTTCTTGGCAATTTCTTATTCAATTCTTAATAGTTTTTGGCCCACTTGGACCCAACACAATAGATTGTTGGGACCCACTTTAATATTTAATTAAAGTCACCAAAAATCTATTTTTTCTAACAATCCCCCACATGAATAAAAATTGATCGGATGACTCAACAAACGGATACCGTTCAACAATAATGACTTGGAGAGGGAGAGTACAACGGACTAATCCTGACATCAGAGAAGGTAGCTTTTGGCTTTGAACTTCTCCCATTGAAAACCTATCGAGTTTACTGCTGATCAATGTATATGACATCTTGAACTGCTCTGTCGTTTATGTAAACTGAGACAATAGATCTCACACGAGAATTACTCCTACCACCATTCTGTTCTTACCGGTGTGCCCTGTATAGCCATGGGCACTAGCCTGGTTCAGCGAGTGGTTTCAAAGAATCTTGGCCTGCTCAATTCTTCTAGAAGCGGCCCCACTTCACACTCACATAGGTGTCTCTACTTGAGTATCCTGCTATACTCAGCTCAACAGCTTAACACACTAGAGTCATTAAAAGCTCAGCTTAACCTCTACACTTGCAGGTATCACTGATAAAAGGAATAGTTGGAGGTTTAACCTCCTCAGTGACATACCACCGTTACACGCAATTAGGTTGTCCCATTGAACCTAGATCTTGGGATATCTAGTCAACGAGGTTGGGTTTCCATTTCGGTAACTTTCAAAGGCCTCAACCCCATTTCTTTTGACGACATCTCGACTAACACTCGATTTAACACTTTGGTTAGCAAATCTGCAATGTTGTCCTTAGACTTTACATAGTCTATAGAGACAACTCCATTCGAGAGTAGTTGTCGTATGGAATTATGTGTACGACAGATATGTCTAGGCTTTCCATTATACATATTACTCTGTGCCCTACCAATTGCAGATTGACTATCACAATGAATAAAAATATCTGGCACAAGTTTAGACCAACATGCACTATTACAAAAATAGTTAAAGATCACACTTTGACAAAAAAAAAAAGATCTCACTTTTATTGAAAGTGTGATAAAAAAAATTATATTGATATTTTAATCACACTTAATTTGATTGAGTGCGATAATATTTATTTTTTATGTTACTTTTAAATTAAGTGTGATTATATATATATATATATATATATTTTAACCACACCTTCTAATTAAAGTGTGATTATATATACACTACTACTTTTTAATCACACTTTTTAAATAAGTGTGATTATATGTCATTTTTTTAATCACACATTTTAATTAAAGTGTGATTATATATACACTACTACTATTTAATCACACTCCCTAAATAGGTGTGATTGTATAAAATATTTAAATTTGATTTTTACATAAAATATACAATTTCCAAATCCACGCCTCTATTCTACCCGTGAATGATAGAGATGACTCACTACTAGAAAAGGAGGCTTTAGACACGGAACTTTTTGCAACGGTTTGAAAATCGTCGCAAAAAGCATGATTTTGTGATGGCAAAAAAAATCGTCGCGAAATTAATTTTTTTGCGACGGCATTTGACTGTCGCAAAAAAGGCATCAACTAAATACCATTATTAGATACCGAAAATCTAAGGCCGTGACAAAAAATAATATTATACGCAACGGTACATTACCTGTCTTTTTTATTTTTATTTATTTATTTTTGCAGCGCCTTTTGTTAATCCGTCGCAAAAGATTTTATTTTGCTCATTAATGATGGCCCTTAAACTTGTCGCAAAAACTTAATCCATAATTACCTTCGCTCTCTCTCCCATCCCCTTCCGTTGTCTCGCTCATCTCTAAACTTTCAGACTTCTCTTCGAATTAAAAAAAAAAAACTCACTATTACAAAAACATTTAAATATCACACTTTGATAAATGAAAATATCTCACTTTTATTAGAAATGTGATAAAAAAAATTAAATTAACATTTTAATCATTAAGTGTGATAATATTTATTTTTTATGTCACTTTTTAATTAAATGTTATTATATATATGTTTTTTAATCACACTTTCTAAGTGTGATTATATACATTTTTAATTAAGTATGATTATATTTATTTTTTTAATTAAATGTGATTATATATATATATATATAGTATCACAGTGGAAACACAAACAAATCAAACCCACTCTTCCCCCGTCTTCCCCTCTCCCCCTCTCACCACTCACTTAGCAATAGCTAGGGTTTTATTATCTTTCTCTCCATTGTATTAGAAGCCCTAGCTTTGAAACTCCCATCCCCAACAACAACAATCACCATCAGTGTTGGATTCACCATCACAGATCCGCCATTGCCCGTTGCGCAGCACCTCCTTCTACCGCAGAACCACCACCTCAGTGCCGACGATGGCAGATCTTGAAGGACGACCAAACCTTAGAGAGCTACGGGTAATTCAATCGATTCTCACCGTACTCATTTTTTGTATATGTGAATGTAGATATAGGTATTAGCATTGGAATTTGAGTTAAATGCTTTGGTACCCAACTCAATTTCATCTAAATCCATTATCCATCAATCTCTCTGTTTTTCTAGAATTCCCAATTTAACACTAACAAACACTCATCAATTTCATATGTGAACTCTTTCTATGATTTCCGTTCACCAGATTTTTGTTTCACTCTATTTCTCACCTACATGCATTTCTCGTTATTCTCTCTCACTAGCTTTCATATGATACTTTCCAACCATCAATGCCGGCTCTAAAAATCAACATCTTTAGTGGGTTTTATTGAGTTTTGTCTCATATGAACTTGACAAGTAAAGGTTGGTACTTTGAATTTGCTTTGTATGTTTCTTTGAACTTCTTGTTGGGTAGATGAACAAACTCAGGCAGAGATTACAAAGTTAAAGACTACTTTTTGAATTTTTTTATTGTATTATTTGTGTTCAATGTGCCCAAAGACTATCTATTCAACCTTTCCTGACTTTGAGTTTACAACAAGAAAACTGAAAATCTGAGATTGGTGGGTCAGCAAATCTGAGTGAAAAATAAAAAAACAGATTTGGTGTTGGTGAAATTCTACCAATAAAGATTTTGAGTATTTTGTCATTAGAAGATCCGGGAAGTGAAAATTTGTGGTTTAGGGTAAGAAATTAACAAGTGTGAGATTAAGGGAACAAAACCACATAAAAATTAGAGATGGGTTGTAATTAAAATCTTATATAGTCAAGAAGATTTCAAGATTTGTGAGGTAGGGAGATGCAAAACCCATATAAGAAAAAACAGAAGTTGATTGTTTTCAATCAGGCCAGCATTGTGAATTTGTGAGTTTGAGAGTTGCAAAATCTATACAAAATCCAAGGTGGGTTGATTTTAGAAAGTATAACAGTTGAGTGAATTCTTACATCTAGTAGAAATCACAGCAAGAAGTGACTTCATTGAATTCTTGAGAATGTCTCAGTATTGACCTGGTAATATTTTTCTCGTGTTTTGGGTGCTTTTCAAAATACTTAGTTGGCTGCTTAGAAGAAGGCATAAGTCAATGAATTTGTTTAATACTTTTCATTTTTTTATCTGACTAAATAGTATTTCTTTAACCATTAGCTATTGTGTATGCAGTTATGAGCCAAAACATGAATACATTTTTTTTGACCTTGCCCTTGTGCTTTTCATTATCATTACCATTTGTTCATCTGCAAACAAGATGAACTCGTGAAGACACTCATCCATTGTGACAAAATATACTGAGAAACACATGCACCTAATTATTGTTTGTTTGTTTCCAGCAGAGCTTGAAGCAAGAATCAATGGAATAGGTCATATGGCCACCCAAGGTTGCTTGATCTGAGAAGGTTAGTCCTTTGTGTTTTGATCTTATTATCCTTATAGACTAACATAATTGTTTAATGAATTATGTTTCAATTGTGCATCAAATAATTTTTGTAGTTATGTCTAGATGGACGACTTGTTTAATTGAAAAGATGGTTTTAAGAGTAGTTTTCTTTCTCTATTGGAAGGCATTGATCCTATAGTTCAATTTTGGAGATAACGTATTTAATCATAGAACCGGACCTTAATCTCTCACATAGGGTGAGAGTGGAATCCACTTAAAATATATATTGAATCTATGAAATTCTTTCTTCTTGTGATTCGAATAATCTATTCATGGGGCTGAATCTACAAAGCATGTAGGTGATTTGATCGGAACCGAATTGGTCCTCAAAATTGTTCCGAACTAGAGGAAGTTAATAGTGTCAACTTTGTACTCTAATCCAGTACGAATTCTTATCTCTGTCTCACAAATTTCATTCAATTATTTTACTTCTCGCATTTGATTTGTTATTGTTTTAATTGATATTTAGTGATTTAACATATATAGATCTGTATATTTTGATCAAAGCCTTTTGTTCTATTTGACTATGATTCTGTTTTTGAGATCCAAAAGTTTCTTTTGGTTCTAACTGAATTAGACTTTGTAACTTTCCTAATTTGGCAATTATCAATTAGACACTCTCCCTCTCTTCTTTTCTCTTACTGCTGCTTGTAGGCACTTTTCTGTGGAGATTTTATCCAAGTGTTGGCTTGGAAAGATGTAAGTCTGTAGGGCATTTTATTCGATGATACATGTAATGCATTATTTTGTAATACTCTGATGAATGAATTAATAGATTGTCTTCTTTAAATAATGAATGTCAATGATATATAATGGGTTAATTTTGAGGGCGTTACAGTAACTTTCCTAATTTGGCAATTATCAATTAGACACTCTCCCCCTCTTCTTTTCTCTTACTGCTGCTTGTAGGCACTTTCTGTGGAGATTTTAGCCTTTATGCTATGTTTCATGAACTAGAATGGAATACTTATTCAATCATAATGTTGATTTAAGCATTAACTCTCCTTCCATTTGTGTAAAATCTAGAGATTGCAACCTGGTCTCTTTGATTAGATGACTAAATTTGATGCTATTAAGACCAACAAGTTTGTACTCTTAGCATACACTATAGGAAATTAGGGATTTAACGGCGTTTAATTGACGACGTTTTATTAAATGTCACGTTTTCTAATTTTTAATGACGTTTTATAACCGTCGCATATTTTTTTAACCAAAACGGCACCGGTTTCTAATTGAAGGCATTTAAAAACGCCTCCAAATGTGGTAAGTACACGCACCTCTTTTTGAAACGATTATTTTTTAATCTGAGCCCTTTCTCTGTCTCAACCCTTATACGCACACATCTCTCTCTCTCAGAGACGAAGAAGACGGAGAAGATAACTCTAGGAAGAAGCTTCGTCTCTCGAAAGATCAATAGGCTGTCGAAGAGAGCTTCAAAGAACACCACACTCTCAATCCTATAAGTATACATAACACTGAGTCTTAGCTTGAAAATGCACACATCTCTCTCTCTCTCTCTCAACCGTTATACGCACACATTTCTTCATCGAAGCTCTGCACCTGCGATTTCGAAGATTCAGAGCTATTTTGAAGCGATTTTGAAGTTTCAGAGTGATTTCAAAGCGATTTCGAAGATTTAGATCGATTTCGAGATTTAGAGCGATTTCGAAGCTCATCGCCACCGTCATCTGCACCGGTGAGGTAGCGAGCTCTACCACCTCTCTCTCTCTCTAGATCTATGAAATCAATGTTTTGAAGGCATTCTTACTTGATCCTCATTTGTAGAGATTCAGAGAGAGGCATTCTGACTTGATCTCTCTCTCTCTCTACTTTGTTTTTGAACTTTAATCGGTACCCTTTCTCTCTCTCTCTCTCTCACTCTATTTCTTTCGAATTTTACTACATGTATAACATTTGTATACATCAATATGTGTGTCTGTCGAATTGTTGAATTGCTCAATAAAAATAAATTATTGAATTGTTGAAAGCTGGTCATGGCTAAGTAGATTGGATGGGAAGATGATTTGAAATTGAGTTTCTGATGCCATATAAATGACTTCCAAGAATTTATACTTGCAAAGATCCCCTTTCCTAACCCCATGAATAGATTTGATCTGTTAGGTTCTTTTTTGAACTGCAAGAAACTTCTACACTAATTTTCATATGACAATTTGGATAAATAGGACACAATATTGCGCCAAAAAAGATGATAGTTCAACAAAAATTTAACCGTAATTGTGAATCAATATTCTGGAAGTACATATTAGATCACAGAGCTTGTTAATTATTATATTGAAACTGCAGAAATTAATGTATCACTGGTATTATGTAAGCTACAAATTGGTGGTCTTGGGTTTTTTTACAGCTCATAAAAACAATTTCTTAGCAGATGTGTCAAGAATGAAATATTAAGAATGGAACATCAGTTTTTTGCAAGGTCGTCTATGTCCCACCATTGATTCTTGTTTGAGTTGCAACACAAACATATGATAAAACAGAATGAAATAATCATAATATTTGTATAGATTGCTAATTTATTTAATCACAAGCATCAAATGCTCGGAAAGTTTACTTTTTGATTTTTGAGAGAGGGCTAAGGGCATTTATTGATAGAACAGTTTAGCTGATACGTGAATATGTTGTTGAGGGTTCTAGCATGCAAAATCTCTGCCATTCTGCGTGTGTTCATATTTTTGAGAGTATAATTGTCCTAACTAGCTTAAGATATCATCTGGCTACATTTTTGGCACAGGTTTCCTGTATATTGTTGTTAATTTTGTTTGCTATACATAAATTATTTTTTTATATCGGCATTTTCATTATGTTACTCTGTGATTTTTCTTTTCTTTTCTCATTCCTCATTCCTCAATGATCATGATATCTTTGTTTTCCTGTTTGTTGGTTTACATGATGGTGCATTTTCTTAAATGTACAGTTGTTCTGATCTTAGGTCTGACATGCTTACTTTATTTTATACTTTTTTCCATTTTCTAGCCGTAATGAACATATTGTCAAAATCGGGATGCTACATTGGATTGACAAAGGGGTTTACGTGATAAGATCTTATCGAAAAAGAAAATTACACAATAGTTTAATTTGAATAAAATTTATTGGAACATATACACAAAATAAGCCTAAACTATAATAAACAAGTGAAAATATTTCAAAAAATATAATGCTTTGTGTAAAATTTAAATATAATATTATGCAAGTAAAAGTTTGCATTTCATCAACAGAAATTGGAGAAGAAAAGTTTTATAATAGAACACTTTGCACTCTTCAATAGTGCATAAAAAGAAAAAGGAAAAATAGTTAACACAGTTGGTTTTAAAAATAGTTTGGAAATTCAAAAGAGAAGAAAACAAAATTTTTTTAGGAGATGATTTGGTTCCAATTCTAAATAATCAAGAACCGTTGATTATGGTTTGATTCATGGATTAAGGCTCAAAAGAATCATAGTGAACTCAACCAAACCAAACTTTTCCCTATGTTGATTTTATTTTTTATAAACTAATTGTAGTAGGTAAAGTAAAAAATATTAAGGTGTTGCGAGGAGAAATCAAACCTTAGATTTCCAACTTAACCTTCACATGTATCAATCAACTGAGTTGTTCTTAATTTGTTAGAATCTCACACTAATAAATTAATATAACCAATATTTGTTTACACACATAAATATTATGACTTAAATTTAGTTTTTGACAAGTATTTAAGTAATAAATTTATATAGTTGCTTCTATGTTATGCTGCAATTAATTGATCTTCTATTGATAATTTTTTTTGAATTGGAATAGGTTAAAACCGTGGAACCAAACTGGTTTCTATGGTTCAATCACATAGTTTTAACTCTCTTATTCTGGTTTTAAATTTCCTGGAACCAAAAGGAATGGTTTGATCCCATTTCCTCTTTAAAACTGCACCAGTTTGGTTCGTGCACAACCCTATAAGAAAACATACATAGAGTAAAAGATAAGGAATTCTCCAAGAAACCTAAATAAAGATACTCGAACAAATAAATAGATCTTAGGCTACATATGCGTATATTATATGTAAGAATTGTTTGTGGTTGTGTCATTGTAAGACTTTGGAAGGACTTATTAGCCAAGAAAAGTTTGAAAAATCTCGAGCCTATAGTCTTGATAAAAGGTTTTGTTGTTTTTTATCTGGTCACAAGTTTCCTCATTTATATTTTTTTACCTGTGCTACTCACCAATATAGCTATTTTGGTTGTGCTCTGATTTGCCTTTCTTAACTTTTAACCACTTCCATTTTGTTCATGAGTTCGTAACTATACTGATGGACTTTGCAATTTTGTTTTTTGAGGGTATTGCCTTGGTTGTGGAAGGTGAGTGGTTTGTTGTTAGATTATGGATTGGTTGTGCTGCAACACTATTCTCTGTATCTAATTTTTCCTCTTTACTCCAGACATCAGGAGACTTCCTTGTGTACATGGGTCTCAATGCAAAGAATGAAATAGTGCACACCCATGCATTTTTGGCCGGTGTTATGTTTTGGTCACAGGTGCACATATCAACCTTTTTTTTTTATCTAAATATAATGAATGTCTGGTTTACTTGTTATGATGTCCCATATTCTGCTTTAAAAGTGAATTTCTTCAAATTATGTCTTTAGAATCATGTTAACTATATTTAAGCAGCCAAGAAGCTTTAGTTAGAACTTAGATGTGTATAATAAGTCAGCAAAAGTTGCAACACTTTTGTTACAAGATTAATATCTAAACAGTTGGAGATGTTAGATCTAGAGAAAGCATCTCGTTCGCATATCCCACTTCTTTAGCTGGAAAGGAACAGTCTAACACATAGTCCTAAAAAACACACACATTATGAGTACCCTGAAAAGTGCAACCTCCATGTACTACCCAACTTTTGCTTGGTTTCTTTTTATTTGGTTTTGATTTGTGACACCAGCAACACATCAATGACCCTTTGCAATTTTCTGCTAATGAAGACTATTTATCGTTGAAACTGTTCCTTCAAATTTATGGCTTGTATGTTTGTGGGGTTAAAACCAATTCATCTTATAGGTGGGACTTTTCCTAATTACTCATTTTCAATCTCAACTTCCCAATTAATCATTTTACGTCCAACCACGGACAGTTTCATGAATGAAGAAATGAATACTTTGTCTTTGAATAAATGGTCCCTTGATTCTAGTTGCTAGATTAAGGAATTACATGTTTGGTTCTTTTTATTTTTAAAGAATCTATATAAGATGTTGTACAAATATTTCTTGTTTAAATTATTGATTGAGATGTCAATTTGTCATATTGTTTTTCCATCGGTCACTCTGATCAACCCCACCACTACTACTTCTCTTGACCCTAAAAAGAAAGAAACTGCAGCAGCCTTTGCTTCACCAAATTCACAAAAATATTTGGTGAATGTATAGGGGTCTGTCTCTTCCTCAGTTTGGTCTTGCTAGTGTGTTTGATTTCTCAATTTTGTCTTGCTAGGGGTCTATTCCATAGTTTATGCACTATGCCATGAATAGAGGACTTCCCTTCACATCTTACAGTGTGAATAGTTATCACTCTTTTCTCACATCATGTGTTCTAAGAAAAACGTTATGTCCAGGTTCCAGTGGATCTTGTCATTGACCATTATGTTCAGGTTGATGTGGCAAGAAGTGAAAATGCAATGTAGGCAAATATGGGGCTTGAATTTCAGAGAAACAAGGAGAGGTTTGTTTTTCTTAAGTAGGGTTCAAATGTTTTTCACAATATGCTCATTGTTCCTCCTGGTTCTGGTATTGTCCACCAGGTAAGACTTCGGCATCATTAGTGCATCAAGGATATTTCTATATCTAGATGGTATATTGTTGTTAAGGAAAATTCTCATGGCAAGGTGCAAGAATTTGACCTTAAGGTGGTATGAATGGTTTACTAGTAAAAGGGCCAAAACATTAGATAGGTTATATTGTTGTTAAGGAAAATTCTCATAGCAAGGTGCAAGAATTTGACCTTAAGGTGGTGTGAATGGTTTACTAGTAAAAGGGCCAAAACATTAGATAGGTATAGGCTCAATACATGAGGTTTGCAATGTTTAACTATTTGTGGGGCTTCTGGAGTAAAGCCACATTTACCTCTAGCGTCTTGTAAATCATAGTCCAAATTTTCTCATTTTTTTAGCACTATAATACTATTTGGTAGGTTTGGCATTTAGCAAGTGACTCTGGTAATTTTTAGGTTAATCTTGACTACCTTTGATGGGTTATTTTCTACAAAAATGGCATTTTGTACCCTGATAGCGTGGTTGGAACTGATTCCCATACAACTATGATTGCTGGCTTAGCAGTTGTTGGCTGGGGAGTTAGAGGAATTGAATCTGAGGCTACAATGCTTGGCCAGGTATTTTGAGATAATAATGTATTTTCTTTATGATTTTTCATACGCTTGTGCCAGCTGTTAGTGTTTGCACTTATTCTTTGGTAGACAAACATCCATGAAATGGGTAGCTGTTTTCTCTTCTTTTTCCTCCAAAGGTGCAAAAGAAAATGCAGCCTCTGCTTCTCTAAAACTTGCTGCTACTGGTGATAGTAACTGCAATGTATGTACACTCCTCCCCCCCCCAAAATGGAGTAAATTCTTGAGTTTTTATTTATTTATTTATGGGTACCTAGAATTATCGTTCAACAGTAATAATAATATACATTCACAAAAAGATTGTACACAAGCTGTATTGAGGTTTATCATTTTCAAAATACTGTGCTCATTAGTGACCTCCTAATTAAAATGTCATTGACACTGAGCTGCTATGGCATCTAATTGTTAACAAGGAAGTTACTTCCAAAAGGATTAAGATCAAGCAGAAATGATTAATGTTCCTATTTTGGTTTGCTGAATTAACTTTTTAGTTTATTCATATGCATCGGTGGTTTCTGGATTAATTTGTGTTTTCATTTTTCAGGTTAGAAATTTTTTGGAGAGATGCAAAATATGGTCCAAGAATTAAAGAACTTAGTTTTTTAAGTTTTTTCATTTTTTAATATATGTAAGCACAGTTAATATTTTTTTTATTTAATTCCTTTGTATATACTTTTGAATATTTAATTTTCATTTATGAAATATATGATGTTATTCTATTCAATATGTGGTTATGATTCAAAATATAATATATAGTGTGTATTACATTCTTCAAATGTGCATACAAAAATAATATTGATTATTTTTCAAATATGTCGAACCCCTTTTTTTTATCACAGATTTTATTAGTTATTAATCACACTTAAAAGATATGATCTAAATGTTATTAATTATACTTAAAAAGATGTGATGTAAATATTTTTAATCACACTTAAAAGATGTAATCTAAATGTTATTAATCACACTTAAAAGGTGTGATCTAAATGTTATTAAAAAGTGTGATTAAAAATGACCCTTTTTAATCATACTTCCAAAGATCACACTTAAAAGGTGTGATCTAAATATTTTTAATCACACTTAAAAGGCATGATCTAAATATTTTTAATCATACTTAAAAGGTGTGATCTAAATGTTATTAAGCACACTTAAAAAGTGTGATTAAAAATGATCCCTTTTAATCACACTCCCAAAGATCACACTTTAATAAAACTTAAAAGGTGCGATTAAATAACATACATCACACAAAAAAAGTGTGATCTTGATTTGTTTTTGTAGTAGTGATGGGATATCTTCAATGAAATGGCGAAGCCATTCAGCTTCTTCCGTTGCTTTATCTAAAGCAATAAACTTTGATTCCATCGTTAACCTAGATATACACGTTTTCTTGGAAGATTTTCAAGACACGGCTGCCCACCAAGAGTGAACACATATCCACTAGTGGACTTTGAGTCCTTTATATCTAATATCCAATTCGCGTCGCTATAGCCTTCTAGCACCGCAGGATATCGAGTATAATGCAGCCCATAATCCCAAGTGTAACTTAAATACCTTAACATCCGCACAGTGCCCTTCCAATGAGTAGCATCGGGGATTACTCGTGTATCTACTAAGCCTGCTAACTGAGTAGGCTATATTCAGCCTAGTACAACTCATCAGATACATCAAACTTCCAATTACCCGAGAATATTCTAACTGAGAGACACTCTCTTTATTATTCTTGGTAAAATGTAGACTTACGTCTACAGGTGTCGGTGACAGACTCGTATCTGATTCACTAAACTTCTCAAGTATCTTATCAATACAACGAGACTGATAAAGTATAATTCTGCCAGATGTTCTGGTAATCCTAATTCCCAGAATAACATCTGCAATGCCCATATCCTTCATGTCAAACTTAGAATTTAATAACTTCTTGGTAGTTTTGATCATTTCATCATTACTACCTATAGTGAGCATATCATCAACATATAGATACAAAATGACATAAACTCTGTCAGTGTCTTTAACATAAACACACTTGTCACATTCGTTGATTCTAAACCCACTTGACAACATTACGTTGTCAAACTTCTCATGCCATTATTTAGGTGCTTGCTTCAAACCATATAATGATTTGACAAGTTTACAGATTTTCTTGCTTTGCCCTAGAGATGAAAGCCACGTCATAGGTAAAATGGCCTTACTTCTTACGGATGTGACATCTATCAAACTTTCTTTTAACCTTGACATTTTTTTTTTGAAATAATGTTATCTCCTATTCTTTCGACGAAAAGATCAAAACAAAACTTCTTTTTGGATTTCTATTTATGAAAGTCAAAGTCAAGTTTAGACTTTAGTGAGGCGATGTTTAGGATGATAGATTTTGACTAAAATAAAGATAAAAGAGATGAAAATAATTAATAAAATAAAATGTTATATTTTATATATTAATTTATTATTTTTTTTCTCTTACAACTATCTATGTAATCATAAAAAAAATATAAAAAATCACAAATTATCATAAACACAACCTTTTTCATCTCATAAAATAGTTTAATTTTTTTTTTTAAAATCAATTAAAATAGCTAACATCCCAAACGAGAACTTTGCAAGGTTAGATGGAGAAAATGATATTCTTACCACACTTTTTATAAAAATATAAGTCAGACATAATGGAGAGCTTTTCTTTCTGTATTTACGGACTAGAGGGCACTGTTCGCCTATAGTGGACTTTGTTTCAGATCTATTTCGATGATTTAAATTATTCAATGTGTAACGCCCTCAAAATAAACCCACAATATCATACATTCTTGACATGCTTAAACATAAGAGAATGAAGCATAATTACATTTCATCAGAGTATTCATTACAAAATGTATTACATGTTGACAACAAAAGTAAATGCCCTATAGGCTTACAACTTTCCAAGTCAACACTTGGTTACAAAAAAAGAGTACTAGCTCTACACAAAATAAGCCCTTGGCTTGATATATATGTAATACAACAAAGAGAACGACAAAATAAGATCAAACAGCCTCAAGCCTCTCAAGCTACATCCTTGGAGGTGGCATGCTACCTGTACCTAAAAATGATGTCTCATATAGGGTGAGCCAACGCCCAGTAGAGATATGCTAAACATAATATGAGCAATAACTAAAACATTAGCATTTGATAAATGTTTAACTCACATAAATCAATTTACAACCCATTTCAATTACATGACCAAAGTATCCACGTTACATTCCATTTTCCATTTCTTATCCAATTTCTCAATTCATAACTATGGCTCAGAACCTGGCCAAACAATTTGAATGAGATTATATCTCATATTAAAACATTATCCTTATCCACAATTCATTTTCAAATGAGATAACACTCATATCAAAACACTTTCACAATTCACAAGAGATACACATTTTTGCTGTATCAATATCACATTAACACTTCCATACTTCATAAATGATACACAGATTCGCTTTATCAATACATCAAAAGATACACATATTTGCTGTATCCATGGAGTCCATCCCCTATCTCCTCCCAAACAATATCCGGTTTAGGAGTCCATCCCCTATCTCCTCCCACACACAATTCACAAGAGATACACATTTTTGCTGTATCAATATCACATTAACACTTCCATACTTCATAAATGATACACAGATTTGCTGTATCAGTACATCAAAAGATACAAATATTTGCTGTATCCATGGAGTCCATCCCCTATCTCCTCCCAAACAATATCCGGTTTAGGAGTCCATCCCCTATTTCCTCCCACACAATACAATGTATATAAACATGTATCATATACATAATCATTCAATACATAAATTTGATGTATTATTCCAACCGTAATATCCGATGACATATTCAATTGATTAGTTTTAGTTCGCCTAATCATCATGCATTGTCTACAACAATCAAGACTATCCTCTACCGATAGCCCAAAGCAATTATTTCTAAACAGATAATAAATGCCTCAACAGATATATAATCAACATTTTCAAAAGTGAGCGATTAATAAATCCAACTCCACCATTCTATCTCACATTATACCAATTTCATCATTTCCAACTCAAATTCATATTTCCATAATATTCCAAATTAATTACATAAATTAATTCATAACAAGAATTAGGGTTTTCTTCCCTCTTTCTCAACATTGACCCAAAGGCTCAAATATCAACAACAATATCAATAATACCCGTTTTAAGACCCAAAACACATATATATGAGTCAAATAAACAAAACCCCTCTTTTCATTTTGGAACCCTAACACCCAAAATTTCCCAACTCCAACATTACATCAAAATGACCAATAGTTTATGTTAAAGACCATAGAAATGAGTAGTTATCCCTACCTCAAATTTCGGAGCTCAACGGAGAAGATGATGAAAACTTAAAGTGCTCCAAATTCCAAGATTTTCGGATTGATAGGAAGCCCTCACCAAGCACAACACTTTTTACAAAGGGACTATGGAGGGAGATCACTCAAACTAGATCAATACCTAGAGAGAAGTTGGGTTTCTAGAGAGAGGAGCTCTCCAATGGAGTTTTTGAAAAGTAAGAGAGAGAAAAGGAGTTGAAAAAGTGATCCAAAAAGTTAGATCTCGGACTGATATAAAAGTCTCCCCGCTCGAGCATCAGATACAGACTCACGCTCGAGCGTGAAAAGCGCCGCACGAGCGTCGATTGCACACTTGCAGAAGTTCTGCAGACCATGGTCCCCGCTCAAGCGTCAAACTCCCCGCTTGAGCGGAGGGACAAAATCAAAGGGGCACGCTAGAGCATTAAAACTCCCGCTCGAGCGTCCGATGACCTGCAGAGAAAAATACTGAGAGATGGAAAATCACGCTCGAGCAGAGGAGCAACAACAAAGGGCCCGCTCGAGCGTGAAGGCCAAAACTTGGGCATCAACTTTTGGTTTCTAAACACAACCCACCCGTTTCAAACTTGCCCAACACATCATAAAACTCAAATATAAGGAATTAAAGGATGACAACATGATATATACAACAACCAACTCCACAAAACCTAAGTCCGGATACAACAAACAAAGGAGAAAGAACCGGGATCGCTATACAATGTGTAAGACTTGTTGAATGTATCATTCTAACAAAAAAAAAATCATATTGATCGGATATCGATAGTCTTTTGATCAAATCACATTTGTATCAACAAATTTTTTATTTTATAAATATCTTGTTGTTGATACAAATGTAATCTGATTAAGTAATTATCGATATTTGATCAAAATGATTTTTTACAAAAAACATTATACTCAGTAAATCCTATACATTGAATGATTTGAATTATCGAAATAGGTTTAGAGCAAGGGCCCACCATGGGCCAACAACACTCTAGTTCGATCTCACAACATAATGAACTTTCTATTTGAAAATAAGGACTGTCTTCTCTTCAGTCTCAAATAGAATTGGAGAGGTATTGTTAGGTCTCGTTTCAATAATCTGAACCGTTCACATTTTTGGGTTCGTTGAGTACATCATCTTCACGAAAAATCAAATCGATCGGATAATGACAACCATGTGTTTGGATTA